TAATGCTTGTTGGAGATAGGCTGGAGCAATAGGGAGGGGCAGGGAAGGGAAGGGAAGCATATAATCTGGGAGTGGAGATGAAGAAAAAGTTTAAAGGACTGCAGCACACCAGAAAAGTGGGACACTTTTCTGTTTATTAAAAACTATTTTCCATCATAGAAACACTGCATTAAAAATGTCCCCAAAAACTGTGTTACATTTGTACTGTGTGGCAAAGTTAATATGTAGAAACCTTGACTTTCAAAATTTGATGTATTTGGGTACTTGGTTCCTCAACTTTAATGCTGCATTAACCAGCTTTTTCAACAGTAAAAGAAAAATAGCTAAAAGGCAAGCTCCTTTATTAGTTATACATTTCCATTTGGGTTTATCACATACTCTAGACTAGTAGTTCTTAACCTTTCCAGACTACAACCACATGTTGCAAACAGAAAAAAATCTGATCCCCAGTTTGAGAACCCATGCTCTAGGTACATGATAAGAATTAGAGAGATTTTAAGAGATAAAGATTTGCTATCTCTAACCACTAATCTCATGCTAGGACTCTTTCAGTAAAAATTCACACTTGACACTTCTCTTCAAAGGCCATCCAAGTTTTTACTCCCTCACAAAAAAAAACACGCACACACACAGCCACACATCATCCTCTGTAGGAGCTCTTGAGATCTTCCTTCTACTTCCACCAGGTGGTAGTTTCTCATACTCTGCTTACATTCACCAAAATCCCTAGCAGCAACCCAGTTACCTACCTCTACTCTGACTCCAGACAATATTCCTCTCAACAACCACCAGTCTCCCCTTCCTAGAAGGTTCCTTCTTCTTACCTTGACCCCCGAATTTCTCCTCAGACCTTCCTTAAGAGGTTTTAAGGCCAAAGAAAGCCTTCAGTTCTAAATACTGTTAAAATGTTTCAACACTTAATCCTACAAGGCAACTTAGTGGTTAAGGTTGCACGATAAGCAACCACTTTTCTTCTCAGGCCCTTAAGCAGTTATGGATTCAATCTTATGCTACAGCAGTACACTATGCATCCTACTTTCTATTCTATGTTAGGGATGTAATAATGTAGTCAATTAACCAATAAGCAAGAGTGGATATACATGCATTTCTCCCCTCCCCCCCACCAGTAAATTTTTTAGCAGGCAGGCCAGCAGCCCAGCTCAATGTTGGCTCATGCTGGGTCCAGAACCTACCCCCACTGTGGCTCTGAATGTAAAGTATATTAGGGGCCAGGTGGGCAGGCAGGCCAGCTGAGTTCCGGCTCGCGCTGAGTCTGGGAGCTCAGCCTGCCCATCTCTGGACAGGGGCTGCTGCCACCCCACACTGTTGCCTCTGTATCAGAGGCAGCAGTGCTCGGTGACAGGCAGCTAGCCTGTGAGGGGTGCTGGTTTTTAAACCCAAGCACCGAGGCAACAGCACAGGATGGCAGGGGGCTCCTCGAGAGTGGGGCCAGAGTGCACTGGCCACACCCTGGTGACTATAGAATAGCCGAGTAACCAATAAAAATTAATGAGGTTAATCGACTATTCAATTAACCGATTTTTAACATCCCTTTTCCATGTCAGAGATGGATTTTTCTTTTTTAAAAAAGCTGAATTCAAAGTATTCATAAAAGACAAATTTTGATGCTAGCTTCTCAGCTGCAGATGATTAGCATTTAGTGCAGTTTAAATGGAGTAGTGAGACACAAATAAGCCAATTTCTTGACATGTCTTTGGGAGACCACAGTGTATTAGGTATATGAATGCTTTATGGGCCGGGGACTGAATGCACTCTAAAGTGGGGAGGGTTACCACAGTTCTTCCAGGAAACAAAAACTGTAGGTGATGATTAAGACAATCACTCAGGTTATGAACACCTCCAGAGAAGTACCACCTTCTGCTGAGGCTCATGTGGTCTGGTTCAAACTAGATTCTTCAGAGACTAAGAGACAAAGAAAAGACTCTTGGATAAATAACCTCAGCTGAAACTGATGCAGGGTCATTGTTCTGGTTCCTACTGCAAAGACTGATAGAGAAGAAGAAGAACACACACAATTGTGGAGTTTGAAGGACTAATGCCTAGAAAAGCCCTGTGCTGGAACTGGTATGATTGGTATGATTTTTAGCACGTGTATAGGTTTTTATGTTTTCTCTAATGCTTCTACCTTAAGAATAATTGTGCTTGCCTGGAGAAAGCTGTGGGGTAACTTGTACCTGTAGGCCAAACACTGGTCACAGCCTTTGGAGAAAAAGCAAAGCACAGGCTTCGGCCTTCTAGGTAGATTGACTTGCTGGGAGTATCAGCATAGATATGGGAGAGGTACAACTCGCACTTCCTTCTGATTGAGGCCTGGGTCGTTGCCCAGTAGACATGATAGCTGAGAGTGAAATCTTTAAGGACCAAGAAAGTACAAGTTACCCTAAAACTATGACAAAGTGCAAAAGTGGCCTTTGAATCCTCTTGATCCTGGGCCCATGTCAGATTCCTGGCACAACATAGACCAGGCTCAAAGGATGTTAGAGTGTTAGCAGGAGATCAATATGATAGCCAAGTATCAGCTGGGTATAAGGGAACTCAGTTACTCCTGCTATACTGGCATTAGGGAAAACGCTAACATAGGAGTCCTCCAGCCATAATGGGGTGATCCTCCCATGTAATGTTGGCTTTAGGGGCACTTTCTACCAATGGCACAATACACAATATGACCTAGAACACAGACCTTATCTACTATTTCCAGATTCAAAAATCCTGAATTGATCTACAAGAATGTATTGCTTTTCTTTCTCTAAAAAAGATTCTAGACAAGTGTCCAGCTTTAACAAAATCATTTAATCCAGACATGAGGAATGGATTTTTCATATTAGTTTAATTCCATGATGACTGAACTGATTTTACTCAAAATTAAAAGAGCCAAACAAATAAAAATCACATTTGGATTAAAGCAAACATAAAGGCTACGTCTACACTGGCCCCTTTTCCGAAAGGGGCATGCTAATTTTACAGGTCGTAATAGGGAAATCCGCGGGGGATTTAAATATCCCCCGCGGCATTTAAATAAAAATGTCCGCCGCTTTTTTCCGGCTTGTAGAAAAGCCAGAAAAGAGCGTCTACACTGGCCCCGATCCTCCGGAAAAAAGCCCTTTTCCGGAGGATCTCTTATTCCTACTTCAAAGGGAGTGTGAGTTGTACCTCTCCCATAAGAGATCCTCCGGAAAAGGGCTTTTTTCCGGAGGATCGGGGCCAGTGTAGACGCTCTTTTCTGGCTTTTCTACAAGCCGGAAAAAAGCGGCGGACATTTTTATTTAAATGCCGCGGGGGATATTTAAATCCCCCGCGGATTTCCCTATTACGACCTGTAAAATTAGCATGCCCCTTTCGGAAAAGGGGCCAGTGTAGACGTAGCCAAAAAGTTTAAGCCTTAAGGCAATATTTTGATAAAGTTCTGAACAACTGCAAAGGGGGCATTAGAACGGAAATGGCATTTCAATCTTAACTCTAGTTTTGCTATGACAAATGCTATACTATACATTTTTCAAGTTTCTTTTTTAAAATGAAGTACTGTAAAATAGTAATGTCAAACAAATGCATGACAAACTGTCATGTGATTAGTGGAATGATACTTCCTAGAATAGATACTGAATAGTTTTTGCTGAAAGCACATCAGGTTCCATGGTTGTAAAACAATGTCAGAGCTTTATAACTACTGACTACATTCTGGACGACAATGACAGCATTGAAGCAGCCACTCAGGCGTCAAGGGATATTTCCAGACTCATAGTTGCAGGAACTTGTCAATACTTTTGTAATATTATGCTTAAAATAAATAGAAGTACATACTTTGGAGCCTTTGCTTCAGGTATGCAATGCCACACTGCCAAAGGCTGCACTGTTTATATGCTTTGCCTTGGGCTCTTAGGAGAATCTGACTAAATGATATTTTTAGGAGGGGTCTAGGAGGTGCTATGCCTTTGGAATAGAATGAAAATTAATCTACAGTTTAGGTAATAAAGTGCTTGCATATGAGAAACAACAAGTATTAGGGCAAAAAGCATTAGGGCAAAAAGTAACGCTAAAGATTTGTATAGCTATTTAGGCATTACTGCACTTAGCATTGCAATACCTAATTAACTGAGGAACCCAACGCTCATTTCCAAGAGGGATTTGGGCATTTAGGAGCCTAAATCTCATTGACAAAGTGTCTAAGCTCCCTTTGAAAAGAATTTTGGGATTACAATGCTGACTGCAGCAATGACTGAATACCTTTAAAAATCTAGACCTATTACCAAGGAAGAAGCATGAGCTCTTAGTTCCCAAAAAACAAAATCAGGTCTGATATTCAGAGACTCAGGAATAATATAAGGAAAAAAAGACTTGTGGTTCCAAAATTCTCTCGCTTCAGAAAGGAACAAGAGACCATGGAATTTGCCTCAGTTACAGATGTAAAAGGTTGCAAAGAAGCAATGAAGGGCCAGGTATGTCATGTAGCTCTTTACTTCTCATTTAGTGCTATTAAGTCAATGAGACTATTCATTGACTAGTGTACAACTCAGCTCAAGTGAAATTATCAAAATCTGGCCACAAATGAATGCCAATGTTTAAATCAGGGATGGGAACCTAAAGCCCGGGGGGTGGATTGTGGTCCCTGGCCTGCAAGGCTTAGGGCTTCCCCCAGCATTGAGGAGCCCGTGCTGGCACTCTAGCCGCCTCCCTCCTCCCCCCGGCAATCCCCAGCCCTGACTGATTTTTCTGACAGTCAGCAGCCCCTGACCCACAAAAGGTTCCCCACCCCTGGATTAAATGAACCTATCTAGTTTCTGTGGGCAGTGCTTAACTAGTTTAGAGTCTCAAATAGATATAAAAAGTAACTGTTGAATCCTAGAAATGCCAGAGGAACCATTGCAATTGATGATTAAAAAGGAAAAAAGCTTCCTGTTTCAATGACCATTTTAGGCTAAATGTAACATTTCTGGGGCCTCATTTCTTTGGCACATTATTACTGTTTACATTCAAACTAAAAAACTGTTCGGGTATTTCATGACATCAGCCAAATTCTTTCCTCTGGGCAAGAAGCGAAGGCCAACTAAGGACTGGACACCTGGACTACTGCTCTGTAGAGGGATTGTCCTGTCTTGTTTTGTACAAGCAGACTATCCTCTATGAAAAGTTTTAGAAAGAGAAACATTATTCAAAAAGGTACTCTGTCTCTAAGTAACATTTTGATAGCAGTCTCAAGAAGCATGGGGGCAAAAATAAACAAAGTGCATTCATCTATTTATGGATCAAATTTAATTTAAAAAGTTCTATTAGATGGATTTGGGATCTTTTAAAGAAAATTGAACTAAGCATAGTACTAAAAACTACACTATATACATGATTACATATTTTTGCTAACATATTGTAGTTATAGAAACTTGTATTGGTCTCTCTCAGAAAAATCACATTGTCCAAATCAGTACATGCCATGGATAAGCACAAACTTTCTTCCTGTCTTGTGGCATTCAACACAACTATGTGTCTATTTTAAGAGTATGGTATAAACACGGAGTAAGAGAAATACTTACCTTCTTCCCCAAATTGATCATAAATGTCTCTCTTTTTAGGATCACTTAGCACTTCATAAGCTTCTGCAACCTCTTTGAATTTTTCTTCTGCGTGTGGGGATTTGTTCTTATCTGGATGCCATTTAAGGGCTTGTTTTCTATAAGCCTTTTTTATTTCTTCTTCAGAAGCTCCTTTTTCAATTCCCAGAATTGAATAATAATCTTTTCCCATTCCGAGTGCTGTAAGAGGAATTTAGGTTTCCCTTAGTATGAAGTAGCCAATGTCCAGTGTCTGAGTAATGTAGTGATGCTGGAGGGGAAAAATAGCACAAATCAGCAAAGCTGTTGGTGCTCTGAGCAGTGGATAGACTGCTTACCCTTATTTGATTCCCTCCCTTGTTGTTCATTTATAGATAATGATACACACTGGTAGAGAGACAGCCCTCTCCAGAGCCCTCCCATTTATACGTGTCTCCGCTCTTTCTAGAACAGCAAATGCTACAGAACGTCACTTCCCAGACTGCTCACAGCCAAAACATTCTCTGCACAGCTGTTTCCTCTGCCTTCCAATTAACTGTTCAATTTCCATTCTTCTGAGTGATCAATAACTCTGTAACTCTAAGTCATTTATCTGAATTTATGCATGAAAAACCTAGCTAGCTGTCTCTTATAAAACTGCCTATGGAAAATGAGTTGGGAATTTCAATTCCTTATGTTGTGCATTGTAATCTATGTAGGTTCTTAAACCATGTAAGAATGCACAGCTGTTCAAGTGACAAACCACCAGCATAAACTGACACCTTTTGTGTGGGAACTAAAAGGGTATTTCAAATTCACGATAGATAAAATATGAAAGTTTACTATAGTCGAATTTCATTTCATTACAAATGCAAATTAATCAATCCCAGGATTCCAGACCGAGTCAATATAACCAAAAGCTACTTTGTCATACTTTATTGTGCTTACAACCTAACTGGCAACAATTTGATACTTTACTGGTTTAAAACATTAATGCAGGAATTGGCCACATTCCTTTCCATATATTATATTGTACAACATTAGCTGATACAAGTCTAAATACAATAATTAACAGACTTCTGAGAAGTAAACAAGTTAAAACTGTGATAGAGACCCAATCAATCAGTTCATATGATGATTTACATAATACAGTTATACTCACATTCAAGCTCTGGAGCCATGAGTGACTCTAACAAGTCTCCTGTGGCTCTTTGCTGCACAAGATATTACAGGATATTAATTAGTTAAATCACACAGTGTTTTAACTAATCTAAGTTATTAAGGATACTTCTACTTTGTTGTTAACTAACTGGAACTGATAAAATAATAGTTGGCCAGTAGTTTTTGCTCTGAGAATTTATACATTATCTTTATTACGCACACAGGATGTGAAAGTGTAAGTGTAAGGGTACACGGTTAATCAATGTGCTTAGGCTCATTGGTTAGCCTTCATGGTTACACACACAGGCTCTCGGCTTAAAAGCCGCCTCCCAGCACACACTGATTCTTGGGGAGCCACTTGCTCCCTTGCTCTCCATATAATCACTGAAAATTTCAACGGTTACATGTTTACTTAATTAAATGTATTTTAACTTCCCTAGTACACATTAAATAACTCCCACTATGCCATTTAAATATGAATATATAGTACTATAGTAAATTAAACAATACAGTCAACAACTGTAGCTTTTTTTGGGTATTACTAATTATGTCAGTAATATTCAGATCTCAGTGTATCAAGTTATAGCCTAGAGGCCAGCATATTCAGATCTCATTTGGCTCTTAGCTGGGTATTAGGTCAAGAAATTGTAACCATGTTGTCAAGTAAGTCTATAGATTTAAGAGTCAGTACTATAATTTTATGAAGAATATATTTAATAGTTGTTCTAGTGAAAGGAAAGGTCAGCTTTACTCATAGCTAAAATTCACATATGAAGGATAAAGACCTTTCTATACATTGTGTTTATGAATTGTTCCCCTTTCTACTTTATTACCTTCAGATGCCCCGTCCCTCTACTACAAATGTCATTACTGGACTGCTTTGTAGGGCCCTCAACAATACCTGTGGGGAACTTTCACACACGAATGCTTAACTTCAATATGGTAGCCATCAAAGGCTCAACTGGTGTAGGTCGAAACCTGCATTCTCCTTCACAGATCTTCTCAGACCTATCATTTCTGGCCAGAAAAAAATGAAATATTTTTCTCCATGGGAAATAATGTTTTTGGTTGCACCACAGAAAAATTAACAGCATGGAAAACTCTCCGTTCCCTCACCTTTACAGTTTTTCAATGTTTACCATTAGAAAATAGAAAGAAAAGATAAATATTCCTCCCTGTCGCAGAGTTTTCAACATTATTTTTTCCAAATGAGGAAAGTCAAAGTATGACTGTGTGTTACTTTCTCTCATTGGTTTTGCTGCATCTCCACCCTGCCTTGATTTTTTCCCTGTGAGGAAAAACCCCCAAAACCCTGAAGTGGCATGCAATTTCTCACACTTTTCAGGGTAGGGGCAGCAGGGAAATTTAAAAAAATTAGAATTGAAACATCTCATGGAGAAGTAAAAGAAATTATAACTGTTTTTAACATAAGAAATCATTTGATAAAACTCCATTTTTTACAAAGCTTTAATAAAAAAGTTTTGACCAACTCTGTTATGAACCTGGTCTAAGAACATCTGAGGACACTGCGAAACAAAACCACCAACCTCTTTGTCCCCCAGGTCTAGCTTGCATCACTTGTACCAGCAACAGTTAATTGATCAGTCACAATGTTCAATTCCATCCACCCAGTTTATTGCCATCATCAGTCATCCTCTTTGCTGTATGAGAAGGAACTGCCATCAACCTCCTGAAGGAGAGAAAACTACTTATGGTCCATCCCTGTTTCCCCACCATGATCTTCTCCAAGTGCAACTTTCCAGACAATATCAGGCCTTAAAAAGAGTTCTTTTTTATTAGTGTTATGTCTGGTTAGTTCCAGGATCCTTCAGTGGGAGAGAGTGGTTACATTGCATTGTATTTTACTTCCACCATTTATATAGTGCCTGTGATGCAGAGCATGGCTTACTCATTTTTGTTTAAAATTAATAAAGATACTTGCCCTCCCTCATTGTTTGCAGTCATCTTTAGAAACGTTCTAGGATTTTAAGCCAACAAAAAAAAAAATCTTACCAAATAGATGCTAAGCTGAATATAAAATCTTAAAACATTTTGTAATATTGTACTGCTGAGATCTCAAAAAGCACTGTACTGCAATTAGTATAAACTTTAATGCAGAATGTTTGTCATTGGTGCAGAATAGTATTTTCCTTTATTGCAAGGTAGAGTTGATTTTTCTGCATATAGATTTCTATGGACAGTACATTAGGTAGTATTTTTATTACATCCAGTAATATGTTACAATGGTTTTGTTAGGTTCTGAGAGTGACTGTTTTCCATTATTCTAATTCCTAACTAAGTTAACAAACATTGGTCTAGAAAACATTGAACAAATGGGATGTGTAGTCCTAGGGATGGGCGTTCCACGACTACCACCCCCAAAAGAAGACGACGGATGGTGGTGGTTGGGGACTTTCTCCTAAGAGGGACTGAGTCATCCATCTACCAGGCAGACCTGCAATCTCAAGAAGTGTACTGCTTACCAGGAGCTCACATTCAGGATATGACATGACAGAGTCTTCCAAAAGTGATTAAACCTTCGGATCGCTACTCCTTCCTGCTTCTTCATATAGGAACTAACGATACGGCCAAGAATGACCTTGAGCAGGTCACAGCAGATTATGTAGCGCTGGGAAGGAGGATCAAAGAATTTGAAGTGCAAGTGGTGTTTTTGTCCATCCTTCCGGTTGAAGGAAAAGGTCCAGGTAGAGATCGTTGAATCGAAGTAAATGCGTGGTTGCGCAGGTGGTGTTGAGAGGGGGCCTTGGTTTCTTCGACCATGGGACTCTGTTCCAGGCACAAGAATTGTTAGGAAGAGATGGGATCCATCTAACCAAGAGAGGAAAGAGCATCTGTGCGGGCAGGCTTGCAAACCTAGTGAGGAAGTCTTTAAACTAGGTTTGTTGGGGATGGTGAACAAAGCCCTGAGGTAACTGAGGAAGTCGGACACTGGGAAGAATCACAAAGAGGAACAAGCAACAAAGGAGGACCCCTGATTTGGATGAGGATGGTAGAGTGATCAACTGGTTATCCAAGTTGTTTGTACACAAATGCGAGAAGCCTGGGAAACAAACAACAAGAATTAGAAGCCCTGGTCCAGTCAAAGAACTATGATTTGATTGGAATAACGGAGACTTGGTGGGATGACTTGCATGACTGGAGCGCTGTCATGGAAGGGTATAAACTGTTCAGGAAGAACAGGCGGGGGAGAAAAAAAAGGAGGAGTTGCATTGTATGTAAGAGAGCAGTCTGATTGCTTGGAGCTCCAGTATTTAGAGGGAGAAAAGACTGTTGAGAGTCTATGGGTTAAGTTTAGAGGTGGAAGCAACGGGGTGATGTTATGGTTGGGGTCTGCTATAGACCACCGGATCAGATGGATGAGGTAGACGAGGCTTACTTTGGACAACTAAAAGAAGCTTCCAGATCGCAGGCCCTGGTTCTCATGGGCAACTAATCGCCCTGATATCTGTTGGGAGACCAATACAGCAGTACACAGACAATTCAGGAAGTTTTTGGAGAATGTTGGGGATAATTTTCTGGTACAAGTGTTGAAGGAACCGACCAGGGACCATGCACAATTTGACTTACTGCTCACAAAGAGGGAGGAATAGTAGGGGAAGTAGAGGTGGGTGACAACCTGGGAAGCAGCGATCATGAGATGGTAGATTTCAGGATCCTGACCAAAGGAAGAAAGGAGAGTGGCAAAATATACACCCTGGACTTCAGAAGAGAAGACTTTGACAGAGAACTGATAGGCAGGATTCCCTGGGATGCTTACATGAAGGGGAAAGGAGTCCAGGAGAGCTGGCAGTATTTTAAACAAGCCTTATTAAAGGCACAGGAAGAAACCATCCCAATGCACAGCAAGAAAAGCAAATATGTTAGGCAACCAGATTGTCTTACTGGGGACATCCTTGGTGAGGCTTAAACACAAAAAGGAAGATTACAAGAAGTGGAAACTTGGACAGATGACTAGGGAGGAGTATAAATATATTGCTCAAGAATGCAGGGGAGTTATCAGGAAGGCGAGAGCGCAATTGGAATTGTGGCTAGCAAGGGATGTGAAGGATAACAAGAGAGCAGTATGATTGCTTGGAACTCCAGTATTTAGAGGGAGAAAAGACAGGCATGTTAGCAATAAGAGGGTGATCAGAGAGGGTTTGGGGCCCTTACTGGATGAGGGAAGTAACAGTGACAGATGATGTGGGAAAAGCTGAAGTACTCGATGCTTTCTTTGCTTCTGTCTTCACAGACAAGGTCAGCTCCCAGACAAATGCACTAGGCAACGCAGTATGGGAATGAGGTGGACAGCCTTTGGTGAGGAAAGAACAAGTTAGGAACTATTTAGAAAAGCTAAACATACACAAACACATGGGCCCGGATTTAATGCATCCGAGGATACTGAGAGAGTTGGCAAGTGTCATTGTGGAGCCTTTGGCCATTATCTTTGAAAAGTCGTGGAGATCGGGAGAGATCCTGGAAGACTGGAAAAAGGCAAATGTAGTGCCCATATTTAAAAAGGGAAGAAGGACAATCCAGGGAACTACAGATCCGTCAGCCTTTGAAGTAGGAATAAGAGATCCTCCGGAATAGGGCTTTATTCCGGAGGATCGGGCCAGTCTAGACGCTTTTTTCCGGCTTTTCCCCAAGCCGGAAAAAAGCGGCGGACATCTTTATTTAAACCCTGCGGGGGATATTTAAATCCCCCGCGGATTTCCCTATTCCGAAGTTTAAAATTAGCATGCCCCTTTCAAAAAAGGGGCCAGTGTAGACGTAGCCAGACAGTGGGAAGGAGGGCAGGTCATGGAAAGAGCATGAGCAACACATCTCTAAGAACACCAGTTTCAGAATAGGTCTTTTCTTCTTCGAGTGCTTGCTCATGCACATTTCAGGTTAGGTGACTCCCAAGCAGTACTAACAGAGTGGTTATGTGTTCATGGATGTGCTGTCTGCAGTACAGCTCTTTTGAACACAGCATCTTCCCTAGCCTGCAGGGTAAGGGCATAGTGAGCCATGAACATGTGTATTGGACACTATGTTGTAGCTCTACAAATATCCTCGATCGGAACATGAGCCAGGAATGCTGCTGAGGACACCTGAACTCTCATCAAGCGTGACCTCAAAATGGACGGTAGAGGGAAGTGCACCAGCTCATAACAAGTTCCGATATAGGCGGTGATCCACTCTGAAATCTTTTACAAAGATATTAGGAGGCCCTTCATCCTGTCTGGAATCGCAATTAAGAGCTGGGTGCGCTCCAGGTAAAATGCTAGAGCACACCTGACATCCAGTGTACAGCCCCCTCTCCTCACTATTGGCATGTGTCTTGGGATAAAACCAGGAGGAAAAATGTCCTGGTTAACATGGAAGGACACCACCATCTATGGCAAAAATGCTGGGTGGGGGGGTCACAGCTGGACCTTGTCCTTGAAGAATACTATATACGGCCTTTCCAGTGTCAGGATTTTAATCTCCAACAATCATATAACTGACATCACTGCTACAAGTAAAATGACTTTACCATGGTAAGTGAACAAGAGAACAAGAGCTCAATGGTTCAAAGGGAAGTCCTGTGAGTTGGAATACAATCAATCAGATTGAAATCCTACTGAGGGTTGGATTCCTTGATGGAGAGAAGAGCATTACATGGCTTTTTAGAAATGGAGCGGACATCTTGTGTGAAAACACTGACTTACTCTGATTCAGAGAGGTGGAAAGCTGAGAGATGGCCACTAGGTGAACTCTAGGAGTAAGTCTACACTTGCTCCCTACTTCGAAGTAGGGAGGCAAATCAAGCCCGGGATTTAAATATCCTGCGCTTGATTTGCATGTTCCTGGCCAGTTGCTATTTTAGAAGTTCACTAGCCCGGAGTAACTGCCCGTGTCTACATGCAGCAGTGAAACGGGAGTCCGATTTAAAGCCCCTAATTCGAATTAGCTGGTAAACCTCATTGCAGGAGGAATACCAGCTAATTCGAGTTAGGGCTAACTCGAATTAGCCCTATACTACAATGTAAGGCTAATGTTAGTGGGACTCAAATCAGCTGATCTGCGGCAGGGAACCATGGGTTTGAGCCTCTATGCTGCATCTTAACCCTACGTTAAGGATTTTCTGACCTGTGCTCCAACCTACAGCTCTGGCATACACGCTACAGTGCACAGACAAAGTAAACATACTCCAAAGTGCTTAGCACTCTGTCAACACACTAGCCCTAGGAGAAAATGGCAAAACTGTGGTGCGGGGGGCTTCTGCTACTGCTGTCAAGCCGATTCCCCACTCTGGTGCTCTAAATGCAGAAGGTGGGGGCTCACACAAGACTTTACAGATATCTACAGGCTTCTTTTTTAAAAACTCCAAGGTCACAGATTCCCAGACCTTGGGAAGCAGCTGCCACCACTCACGTGAGAAAAAAAAACACTTTGTTCTTGAGCTTAGGAAGAACTTCTTCCTGAGGAGGTCCCCAAGATGAATGAATAAATGAAAGAAAGATCTCTGATTGCATGCCTAAGACTGAGAGGTCAGCTTACATATTACCATCCAGGACACAAGAATCTAATCAAAACCTTAAAAAAAAGTGAGTTTATTTACAAAACAAGAAGATATACTTGGTAAAGCATACTAGGTTGCTATATGTTATAAAACAACTGAGAACAGAACAGATTAAAACAGAGAATTGTGTCCCTGGGATTCAGCTTAATTACAGGGGGGGAGACACACACAAAGAAGTTTAACCAAGCAACAACAGAAATAACCTGATCACATCTAAATAAAGATTCCCTATTTACTCAAATCTCCATACTTCAAAGTCCAGTCCGTTTCCATGCCTAGTATTATTTGTAGGCATGAGTCCTACCTGGTTCAATTCATCTTGTTCCCCCAGAACCTGGCTTAAAACTCAAACGAAGAGAAAGCAACAGGCAGGGTTCTTCTTTTCAAATCTCAACACCTTTTCCCTTTGGCTTTCTGGCCCCCACCATCATCTCCTAACTGACTACCCAAGTTTAACCCTTTATTTACTGAACGCTGGGATGCCCAGAAAAGGACAGCACTCCTCCTATCCTTCACAAATATCCACTCTGTTTCCAAACTGTGGCAGTATTATTGACAGAACTCAGGTGTCTGTAAGGAGCACAAATACTGGGCCTGCCCACAAAAGCTCATGATATTGTATGTATTTGTTAGTCTCTAAGGGCACATCTACACTAAGTGCTTATTTTGAACTAAGCTATTTTGGAATAACAACTCCCAAAATAGCACGTCCACACTGATTGGAGCCTGAATCACATTTAAGGCCCCCCAGAAGCACTCTGGCAGGGCATAAGGACAGCAGTGCTTAAAGGG